ATCCATGAAGAGAAGAAAGAGCCTATGAATTTGAATAGAGAAAAAAAATAACAAATTTATTTTTTACTAATATATTCAAATTCAACTTTTCTCTCCGCCCCCCACCATGCACATGCTAGGAAAACATTCTGCCAGCTCAGCCCTTTTTATTTATTTTCAGACAGGGTCTAAGTTGCCCAGGCTAGTCTTGAACATGCTGTCCTCCTGCTTTAGCCTCCTGAGTAGCTGGGAATGTAGGCATGCACACCATATTCAGTCCATTATCGACATTTTATGTCCATTTGGGGAGAGGAGTGTGCTGAGGATTGACCCCAAAGGGCTTGTGTATTCGAAGCATGGTGCTCTACCACTAAGTTATATAATCCATCCAAAGTGAATTACTTTTTTTTTTTTGGTACTTGGGATTGAACCCAAGGGTGTTTACCACTGAGCTACATGCCTACCCCTTTTTATTTTGAGACAGGATCTTGCTAAATTGCTGTAGATCTCACTAAATTGCTGAGGCTGGTCTAGAATCTGCTGGGATTATAGGCATGAACCACCACACACAGCTGTAAATTACTTTTAAAATTCAATATAAGTCTAAGGATAGAAAAACTACACCAGAAGGTTCTGCATCTTTCACACAGGATATTCTTGCCCTCATACTAAACAACATAGGGGAAAAGGTAGAACACTACAAAAAACAAAAACAAAAACAAAAAACCAACACTTTCCCATCTCATATTAAATCAAAATTATATTAAGAAAACTACACTTACACTGATATCCTTCATAAACATAAATGCAAAAATTTTAAACAAAATTTTAGCAAATTGAGTATAACAGTACATATCAGTACACATTCTGGCCAAATAGTTTATCCCAGAAATGTAATTTAATTTATTAAATGTAATTTACTACACTAACAGACTAAAAGGGGGGGGGGAATGGTCATCTCAGTAGATACAACAATGAAACAGTAATGACACTGAGTGGAAAAAAAATCTGAACAAAACAAAACAATTAGACCAAAACCAGAGTATATATGGTTCCATTTAAAAATTCTCTAGAAAATTTGGGGTGAGGGGCAAGGAGAGACCAATTACACAGGAACACAAGGAAACTTAGTTGTACTAGATATGTTCATTACCTTGAATGCACTAACGATTTCACAGGTACATACATAGGTCAAAACTCATCAAACTGAACACTTAAAAATGTGCAGTTTAGGGGCTGGGGATATTGCTCAGTTGGTAAAGTGCTTGTCTGGCATGCACAAAGCCCTGGGTTCAATTTCTAGCACCATACACACACACAGTGCAGTTTATTGTATACCAGTTGCACCACAATGCAGCTATGAACAACAAAGAAAATATTTCTTGTACCATACATGTGTAAATTTTGGAGTAGGGTGAGTGACCCACTAATTTCATAGGAAGTTTAATTGATAGCATTACCATCTTGATGTTGGTAACAGCAAAGATCAGAAGGAATATGACAAAATAATTGTTCCTAGGGCTTCCAGAACCCAGTGAAGGTAGAAAGGAATAAACTTATTTATTTATTTTTTTTGGTACCAAGGATTGAACTCAGGGGCACTCAACCACTGAGCCATATCCCCAGCCTTAATTTTAGTTTATTTAGAGACACGGTCTCACTGAGTTGCTTAGTGCCTCACAGTTGCTGAGGTTGGCTTTGAACTCGCAATTCTCCTGTCTCACTCTCCCAAACTGCTGGGATCACAGGCGTGTACCACCGAGCCCCGGCAGGAATAGTCTTTTTTTTTTTTTTTTT